TCCCCACACTCTCCCCCTGCTCCAGCGTGGGATCCCTCGCACGGGAGACAGTTCTCCACAAACTGCTCGAGCCCTTCCCATGGGGAGCAGTCCTTCAGGAACAGGCCTCTCCAACATGGGTCCCCAACAAGTCACAAGTCCTGCTAGCAAACCTGCTCCAGCGTGGGCTCCTCTCTCTATGGGTCCATAGGTCTTGCCAGGAGCCTGCTTCAGCGTGGGCTCTCCATGGGGTCACAGCCTCCTTTGGACATCCCTGTGCTCTGGCATGGGGTCCTCCCCGGGCTGCAGGTGGGGATCTGCTCCACGGTGGGCCTCCATGGGCTGCAAGGGCACAGCCTGCTTCGCCATGGTCTGCACCATGGGCTGTAGGGGAACCTCTGCTCTGGCACCTGGAGTACCTCCTCCTCCTTCTTCACTGACCTCGGTGTCTGCAGGGTTGTTTCTCTCACATAGTCTCTCTCTCAGCTGCTATTGGTGTTGCACAGGGGTGTTTTCCCCGTCTTAAATATGTTATCACAGAGGTGCTACCACCATTGCTGATGGGATGGGCCTTGGCCAGTGGCGGGTCTGTCTTGGAGCCAGCATTGGCTCTATCAGACATGGGGGAACCTTCTGGCAGCTTCTCACAGAAGCCACCCCTGTAGGCCCCCTGCTACTAAAACCTTGCCATGCAAACCCAATACAAATACCTTTATTTTAAATTTTGGTGTAGGCTGCTAGTTTCAGTATCGGTGTTTCCTGGCCTACTGTTTGGACATAGCTTGCTTTTCTTCCATTTCCAAGGGAAAGATATGGAGACCTATTAAAAGGAGGTGGCTTTTTTCCCTTCTATATTTCGAGGAACTGCCAATGGCATCCTGAACTGATATTTTTGTTTTATTGCTTGTTAAAATTTCCTGCCCCCCAGAGCTGATTTTTTTTTTTTTTTTTTTTTTTTTTTTTTTTTTACACCAATGTTAGCATGTATATCTGTATGTGAAGTTAACAGTCCTTTCATTTTAGGAGGTATTTAAAGAAGTCAGGATCTTGGACAGTACTTTAGAAAAGCATGATATGGAGACTCCAGCAAAACCTAAAAGACTTCCAATTACACAGAAGTTTTATGCATTTTATCATGCACCAATTGTGAAGTTTTGGTTTAATACGGTGAGTTTTCTTCTGTGTAATGTGTATTTTATTTTGAAATCTAATGCAAATTTTTTGGTTCTTTTCCCAACATGTAGTTCTGTGACCTGAATCAAAGTTTAAGCACTTTTTTGAAAAGAAACAAAAAACCCTCTGACCTTGCTAAGCTGGAAATGAGAAGTATTTGATTTTCAAAAACTACATACGCACATCCAGTGCTCTGTGGTTTGGGGCTTTTTTTAAGTTCATGATGTTGGCTTTGAGAAATACTCTTTTTTTTTTTCTTAAGCTAAGAGAGTAATTAGCATGAACACTTTTATTCTGGCCTGAGTAATTAATTTAATCAGTTTCTAGCAGGAGTTCTATAATCATATATTAGGCTAAGGTGTTCATGCACAGCTCTGTTTAAATTACTGTAATAGAAACTCTGAAATCTGTATAACAGGCAAAATAGCTGTAATAAGAACAAAGCTTTGGTAACAATAAATAGCTTATTACAGCTATTTTTCCTCTTCTAAGAAGAAAATGTTTGTATCCCCTTATAAATAATAACTTGTCTGCTTAAAGGAGTAAATGTAGTACTGTAATCCTACTTGAAGCTTTTGTTGTATACCACATTAAAAGATTCCAGGCACATCTATAAAGAACCCTTCAGTAATTATACGTGTAACTTTCATTGCTTTTTTTAGTTGGCATACTTAGGATTCCTCATGCTCTACACATTTGTGGTTCTTGTAAAAATGGAAGAATTGCCGTCCGTTCAAGAGTGGATTGTTATTGCTTACATTTTCACATCAGCAATTGAGAAAATTCGTGAGGTACGCCTGTGACAACCTGGGATTTTAGTTTTCTTTGTCAATTAAAACAGTATGCTTTAAACTTTAAACAAGAAAACCTAAGAAACTCCAAGCATCGGAGTACGTGATGTGGTACTGTGGTGGGTTGAGCCTGGCTGGATGCCAAGTGCCTGCCAAAGCTGCTCTGTCACTCCCCTCCTCAGCTGGACAGGGGAGGTGAAATACAATGGGAGGCTCGTGGGTCGGGAGAAGGACAGGGAGAGATCACTCACCAATTACCGTCACGGGCAAAACAGGCTCGACTTTAGAAAACGAATTTAATTTATTACCAATCAAATCAGAGTAAGGTAATGAGAAATAAGAACTAAATCTTAAAACACCTTCCCCTCACCCCTCCTTTCGTCCCAGGCTTAACTTTACTTCTGATTTTCTCTACCTCCTCTCTGCCAGTGGTTCAGGGGGACAGGGAATGGGGGTTGCGATCAGTTCACCACATGTTGTCTTTGCCACTCCTTCCTCCTCACACTCTTCCCCTGCTCCAGCGTGGGATCCCTCGCACGGGAGACAGTTCTCCACAAACTGCTCGAGCCCTTCCCATGGGGAGCAGTCCTTCAGGAACAGGCCTCTCCAACATGGGTCCCCAACAAGTCACAAGTCCTGCTAGCAAACCTGCTCCAGCGTGGGCTCCTCTCTCTATGGGTCCATAGGTCTTGCCAGGAGCCTGCTTCAGCGTGGGCTCTCCATGGGGTCACAGCCTCCTTTGGACATCCCTGTGCTCTGGCATGGGGTCCTCCCCGGGCTGCAGGTGGGGATCTGCTCCACGGTGGGCCTCCATGGGCTGCAAGGGCACAGCCTGCTTCGCCATGGTCTGCACCATGGGCTGTAGGGGAACCTCTGCTCTGGCACCTGGAGTACCTCCTCCTCCTTCTTCACTGACCTCGGTGTCTGCAGGGTTGTTTCTCTCACATAGTCTCTCTCTCAGCTGCTATTGGTGTTGCACAGGGGTGTTTTCCCCGTCTTAAATATGTTATCACAGAGGTGCTACCACCATTGCTGATGGGATGGGCCTTGGCCAGTGGCGGGTCTGTCTTGGAGCCAGCATTGGCTCTATCAGACATGGGGGAACCTTCTGGCAGCTTCTCACAGAAGCCACCCCTGTAGGCCCCCTGCTACTAAAACCTTGCCATGCAAACCCAATACAAATACCTTTATTTTAAATTTTGGTGTAGGCTGCTAGTTTCAGTATCGGTGTTTCCTGGCCTACTGTTTGGACATAGCTTGCTTTTCTTCCATTTCCAAGGGAAAGATATGGAGACCTATTAAAAGGAGGTGGCTTTTTTCCCTTCTATATTTCGAGGAACTGCCAATGGCATCCTGAACTGATATTTTTGTTTTATTGCTTGTTAAAATTTCCTGCCCTCCAGAGCTGATTTTTTTTTTTTTTTTTTTTTAAAAAAGTATCTGTAACTCACTGTCTAAAGTCGTAGTGAAATAAAACAACCTTACTTTTCTGAGGGGTGTAATGTGTACTTATTTATTAGTGTCAGTCAAACTCTACCACTATGCTGTGACTGAGACTGCAGAACAAAGCTTTATTGAGACAGCATAGCTATCGCAACTACAACATTGCTGGTCAGCAAGAGATGCTTGAGGAGTTCTGTAAGAATTTGTAAATGAGAAAGTTCATTAACCAGCTACTTCAGGCCCAACTGCAAGGGCAGAAAGTAGGGCTCATTTTTGTAACAGTAACTGCCTCAGAAGAAAAAACCCAACACCAAAAAAAAACCCCAAAATAAAACCCCAAAATACCCTGAACCAAAATTCTTTCATAAATTGTTCTGAGAAGTAAGCGTACATTCTCCTTGTCCTTGTTGTGAAGCTGACACAATTAGACACTGGGTTTGGTTCCTTAGTGTGAAACAGTTATCCATTTGATATTTTATTTTTGCAAGTACAAAAATGTTCCTGATTCATATATTTCAGTGTTGGTCAATGTGCAATAGATGTGAGGAGACCTGACTTTTTTATTTTTATTACAGATTTTTATGTCAGAGGCTGGGAAGATTAATCAGAAGATTAAAGTGTGGTTCAGTGATTACTTCAATATCAGTGACACAGTTGCCATTGTCACATTCTTCATCGGGTTTGCATTAAGATTTGGAGCAAAGGGGAATTTTGGTGAAAACACTTACAGAGAAAACTACATCTTCGTTGCTGGAAGGATAACTTACTGTCTCAATATAATTTTTTGGTATGTGCGATTACTGGATTTTCTAGCTGTAAATCAACAGGCTGGCCCTTATGTGATGATGATTGGGAAAATGGTGAGTACTGCCTTTGTTACTATTTTTTTTCCCAACTGAAATACGTTCTCGTAGCTGCATCCATTTACAGCTTTTCTCGAAGTTTTGTTTAGAAAAAGATTACTTACGCCAGTGTAATATGTCAACAACCCAGTGTGCAGAATTAGCTAGCTGGAATATAACTTCATGTGTTTCAAAACAAGCACTGATTAGAAGGCTTCCTTTATTGTAGAGCTTTCTCTGTCACGTATCTGTAAAAAGGTGGCAAACGTTCCTTCTCTGGTCTGTTTTGTTCTTAGATGTCAGAGACATGAATGAATATGATGATGCCTTTTTCTTGATTCGTCTAGCATTACTTCCCTTTTGGGTCTGAGATTTTTTTAGTCTTGTTTTTCTTGCCTTTGTGCTCGCTAGTGCAAGACTTTAACTTGTTTTATGTCCTAAAGCACCTTTGTATTTTGTGCTGTGGAAAACTGGAAATAGATTGTGGTTCTGTTCTTGTCTTCTCTCACGCAAAAAATATTCATATTGTTTAAATTTAAAAATAATTAACTTAGCTTTCCTGTCAGTGATCTATTCTAAATGTTAAAACAGATTTTTAAGGCTTGGGAACTGTAGCTGCAAAGGTGGAAGGAGTGTTAGTTTTTTTTCCCCCTACAAAGTGGTTCCTACAAAGATGAACCCTGTCATTCCTTAAAAATGAGGGCACCAGGTTGCTCGTTTCTCACTTTGATGGCTTGCAAGAGGCATACGGTCTGTGTTTCAGCCCTTTGAAAACTGCCTTTGCCTTTTGTGTAGCTGTTGAGTGCCTGTTAGGAAGGAATGTTTCTCTTTGTCAGCTGCTACTCATCCACCTAATAGGTGTTAGAGTTACAAAGGAAATACTCTCAGTTGGCTTTGGCCTGAATAGGCTGTAAGAAGGGACAGGAGAAACACAAGGGGTTTTTACAGGGTTTGTTAGTTAACAGAATTTTCTGACTGAAAGGTAAGTGTCCTAGACTCTTTTCCTTACATAATCCATAGGATTCATCAAGGTTACACTGTTGCTGTAGAAGTGTTTAAAAAGTTGTGAAATCGTAATTATGACCTCGTGGGTTAACTGACTTTTTTGTGTTAATAGGTGGCCAACATGTTTTACATTGTGGTGATTATGGCGCTTGTACTGCTTAGTTTTGGTGTTCCCAGGAAGGCAATATTGTATCCTGATGAGGCACCCTCCTGGACTCTTGCTAGAGATATTGTGTTTCATCCGTACTGGATGATTTTTGGTGAAGTGTATGCCTATGAAATTGATGGTAAGACACTGCAATTTTGATGCAAGTAAGGAGAAAACTTACTCTGATAAGATCTTCTCAAGGTCTTAGGAAATTCTAATTTTATGAAATGAAATGGCCAGTATTGTTGAGATTGATTCCATTCATTGAATTACCTCCTCTTTGTGGGTTACAGCTGTATAACTTCTTGCCTTGACTCTTTCATTATCCTTTATAAAGCTTGAATGGCTTAGAATGAAAACTCTGCTTAATCGCGGTTTCTCACAAGGCTATTCTGAGCAAGATTTTTGAATTTTCCCCCACAGCTGTCATGCCCAAATTTTGTCTGTGGTGATGAGTTATGGGTTTTTTTTAATCCAATAGTATGATTATACCATAGTATTAACCAGAAACTTTGTCTCCTGTATTTTTCTACCGTATTCCTACATGGATGGAGACAATTTTGAATTACAGAACCAGTGCATGATAGTTGGTTGTTGCAGTCTTTGTAAGTGATCTTTTTCTTTCCTGTCTATACCAGCTGGGAATTCTAAAAGTTGTACGTGTTTTCTCTTTGTCTATTTTCCCCAAAACAGTATGTGCAAATGATTCTGATGAAAAAGTTGCTCATCTCTGTGGCCCAGGAACATGGTTGACCCCATTTCTTCAAGCTGTCTACCTCTTTGTACAGTATATAATTATGGTTAATCTCCTTATTGCATTTTTCAAGTAAGTATAAGGATAATTGTTAATTTTTGCTAAGTTTTTTGATAAGTTTCTATTTCACTGCAGTAAGATGACAAGATGAGAAGAGCTGATGCCAGTTCAAAGCAATCCCACTTGCTGGAAGTATTTTCAGGTTTTGAGGCTGGTCTTGTCTCCTGCTCACTGCAAGCCCTTGACTAAGTAGGGAAATGTGCGATGTGACTGGTATATGTCACGTCTGTGAGGCTGGGGAATTAGGAGAATTTGAAAGCATTTTGTAACCTCTCTTTGTCAGAAACGAACGAAATTGTTTCTGGATTTGTATACTGACTGTTGTTCCTAAATTCATTTAACGTTCTCTAGTCGGTTGAGTTGAATTGTAGTGCAATAAATTGTCTTTTACACTTCTCTGCAAGCATTTGATTTATGGGAATAAGCAGCTTGCTAACTCTGAAGAACAGCAGACTGCAGAATGAATGTGGTCCGATATAAAAATCTGGGTTTAGTTAGAAATAATTATTTTTGTTTGGCAAACTTGAAAGTTGATCTCAGTGTAATTTAGTTCTGAGGAAAGATACTGAGATGTTACCAGATGGGAGAATTTTTTAACCCTCTCCTTGCTTTGGATCATGGTATTTTCTTGAATGTTTTTCCAACTTCCACTAAAATAATTTTGCAGTAAAAGACAAGTATGTGCTTTTGTGTCTTACTTAATTAGCTTCAGAAGTCAAGATTGTTGTCGAAGTGTTAAAAAAACCAAACACCAACCCCCCTCTTTACCCCCTACCCCAAAAACCATCTTGATTTGTTAATGTTTCTCTATTCCCTTTCAGCAACGTGTATTTACAAGTCAAGGCAATTTCAAACATTGTGTGGAAGTATCAACGCTATCATTTCATTATGGCCTACCATGAAAAACCTGTTCTGCCTCCACCGCTTATTATTCTTAGCCACATGGCTTCCCTGTTCTGTTGTATATGTAAAAGAAGAAAGACAGACAAGACTTCAGATGGGCCAAGTATGAACAGTTATTATCCAAAATATTGCATTAACTTTTTTGATATGATTAAAGCAAACTGTCAGAAAAGTGCTGTGTTCTCGGTTATAATGTGTGTTCTGAAGGAAGTCAAAGTAGATCTTAATTTTCCATGTTTTTAATATTGAATAAGACTCTAATTCTGTTTTAAGTCCCAGTGTTTTTATGAAGGATATAATGCACAGCCCCTGGAAATCTCCAGTCAAACTAACTTACAATAAAAACAAGCAAATGAGATTAGATTTCCTGTTATTGTTGATGGGGCAAGAATTTTTTTTTTCTTTCTCAAAAACTTCCGTTCTTATTGGAAACCCTTTGAAATTAAAAAAAAAAAAAAAAAACAAAAAACAAACAAACCAAAACTGAAGTTCCACAGGTCGTGAAATCCAGCTAAGAATCTGGCTTCTGCCTCAAAGAAAAAGTGAGAGGAGAGTAGGAGCATAAGGAATGATAATATTGTGTACAGATCCTCTCACAATTACTATTTTGTTTTTTATTTTAGTGGAAGTCTTTGACCTTGGACTTTTCTAGCAAGGAGAGAGGAAGGGTCTTAGGTGACACTCTGGGTTTTTTGTTTTGTTTTGTTTTTTTATTTTTAACACTCTTTGTAAAGTTGTGGCTATTAGTTTCCAGCACCTGTACTAAATCTTTACATATGCATCTTCTTAACTGTTTAATCTGTCTTTAGAACTCTTCCTGACAGAAGAAGATCAAAAGAAACTGCATGATTTTGAAGAGCTGTGTGTTGAAATGTATTTCAATGAAAAGGATGATAAATTTCATTCCGGAAGTGAGGAGAGGATTCGGGTCACATTTGAACGGTAGAATATTTACAAATAAAATTTCTGAACAGAGAAGCTTAGAAGTTCTGAAGGTTTTTTAAATGTGCTTTAAGGGGGGGCTAAAATGCAGCTGAGGAACATTCAGTATTTATGCAAACTTTAGATGATGTCTTTTCATTGTTATGCAGAAACTAATAATGCGATTGACGCTTCCTGATCTGTTGCAGTGATCAGTAAACTGAGGCAATCACATTATTTAGTTTCTCAGGATGTTTTAATAAACTGATAAATTTGAAAAAGTGGCTGTAGGCCCTCTTTTGATGTGTATGTTAATTCTGTGATTCAGAAGTATGTACAAATGTTATTTGTATTACAAAACAGTCCAACACTATAGTGTATACTGTCTTAAAATTTCAGAAATTTTTTCCATTGTACGTGGGCGGAAAGGGTTACGAGATGTTTCTTTTGCATATTGAGAAAAATACCTTTCATAGCTACTTCATAATTTGATTTTTCTTAGGGTGGAACAAATGTGCATTCAGATAAAGGAAGTTGGTGATCGTGTCAACTACATAAAACGGTCATTACAGTCTTTAGATTCACAGATTGGCCACCTACAGGATCTCTCTGCTCTAACTGTGGATACTCTGAAAACACTGACTGCACAGAAAGCTTCAGAAGCTAGCAAGGTTCATAATGAAATCACACGGGAATTAAGCATTTCAAAACACCTGGCACAAAACCTCATTGAGGATGGCTCTCTAAGATCTTCTGTGTGGAAGAAGCACAGCATTGGAAATGTCTTCGGTTCTTTTCCGCAAGGAGGCCTTGAAAGTAATAATGCTTTACTCTGTAACATTTCTATACGTGATGAAAAAGATGTCCAGCATAAGACAATTGGTCAGGAGTTAGCTCCAGTTCCCCGTAGAGAAGAAATAAACTTTCAGGAGGCAGGTTCCTCAGACAGTGCCTTATTTTCAAATGCTGTTTCCCCTCCGGAACTTCGCCAACGAATACAGGCTGCAGAGATCTCAAAATCCGTTAGTAAAAGTAAAAAATTAGGCAATTCATCCAACAGCATGCCACATGTAACATCCCCAACAGCTAAATTTTTTGTTAGCACTCCATCTCGGCCCAGTTGCAAAAGTCAGCTGGATTCTTCAGCAAAGCATGAAGAGACTGTTTTCTCTAAGGCTACAGAAGGAGATAATAATGTAGAATTTGGTGCATTTGTGGGTAAGTATAACAAAGTAGATTCTGAATGTCCTGAAGTCATTATTAGCTGCTCTTATCCTCTTGCTTCTGGCTCTGCTTGCCTTGCTTTCACCCAACCTTGTGTTGAAAATGGAGGATACATTAATTGTGGTTTTGTTCATGATGAGAGTGACACTAATGATAACTACAGCTGCAGAGTTGACAAATGTGATCACCAGTCCTCTGTCAACTTATTGAAGAACAACCTCAAAATGAAGTTCTCTTTGTCAACTGGCGACTTGACGTCAACAGTCAACTGTGGTGGCTCACATGGAAAATTGAATATTAAAGATGAACTTTCCAAAAGTCAGCATGTCCATGCAATGGAACTACAAACCCAAGATTTATGTTCTAACATCCTTATGGGACAGCTTCATAAACTGTGGACCAAATCTAAGCCACAAGGTTTGACTTATCAAGAATTGTATAGTATTTTGGGTGTATTCCGGTTGCAGGTGACTTTATTCTACCATTTTGCTCTGCTTTTTTTTGCTTTTAACATCTCTAATTTCCCTATGTTGCTTGAATTTATTTTTACTTTAATGATCATTTCTTTATAACTCTGTCACATAGACAATATTTTTGTGAAAAACATTAGCCAGTTGTTGAGTGTAGCAGTGTTGTGCAATTAGCAGCTCTACAATTTGGTATGGGCCCTGTAGACAAACTTTGTGACTCATTCTAAAGTTCATCCTACCTCCTCATCGCATAAATTAAAAATATTGTCTATTTCTTGACGTAATTACAGAAGACTGCTTAGGCTGATGGAATCCTGGACAAATATCTTTGTGGTGTCTATGTCAACCTGAGGGATCCTCCTATACTATGTTTCTAAACACTGTTATGACTGGGATCTTCCACTGTTGCCTGGACTAACATATATATTTTGGCAGTCGTTTTGGAAGCTTCCAAAGTCCTTTTATTAAATATAGCATTATGCCTCCCCTCAAGTTTTGTTTAACAGTAAAAATGTGCATGTTTTTGGTTAGAGTTACCTGCATACTTGAACAGTAAAACAGTGGCAGATTCATTGCAAAACATAGGTGTGGGTTTACTAACTGGTTTCTGTAAAGTAGATAATGCTTTAAGTACACTTAGTGTATAGCAGAAGATCACAATCTGGAATTGTCAGATTGCCTGCAGAGGTGCTGTCTTGCCCCAGCTGTGCAGGGATATCTCGTGTTTTCCAAAGGTTTGTGGAGGATGCAAAAATTTAAATCTTTCGAGAAGAGTTTATTCTGCTGCTGTGAAACTTAGAGTTCTAAAGAAGTTACTTACATGCACTAGCATTTTTAGATTTGTGTGTGCGTAGGAAGAGTGTCTACACATTTGTACACTCACTAGCTATTCGTTTATAATTTCCTCCTGGTTTAAAAAAAGGAAAACTTTTGTTTAAATTCAGAAAGCAAGAGTACAGAGAAATAATGGATAGCAATTGTATAATTCTTACCTAATCTTTAAATGTACTGCACCACTAATAACTTTGAATACTAACTATACTTATTTTACTGGAACCATTTTTTTAGTGTATGTTCCTCTGACATCTCTAGCATTTAGAACATACTCTTCATTCTTACTGTCCACGTTTTGTGAAACTTCTGATACAGTGCAGCTTCGCATTGTGAATCTAAGTAGGTTTTCATTCATTATAAAGCCACATGGTTGGTAAAATTCTGAAAAGTATTTCTTGCAACTGGGACGATGAAGGGTATATTGTAAAAGCTACCTTAAACTGTCTGCTTTTCCTTCATTTGCCCTACCTACATAAAAATACTGTAATTTGGACACCCTGTTCCTTTCATGTGAGGAGCATACCCTTGAGTAAAATTCTGAAATGTTACTTTTACATTTTGAATTATGGTAATCTGGGCCTTAATGCAGGAAAAGCAATAGTTTCATATTAATATTTTGTCACATTGATTTTTACTTTTGTGTGTTTGGAAGGTCTTCTCTAGTGCAAACAGGCACACAGAACTTAGATGGTTTGTAACCCTTTGCTATGGTAGTGCAAACCATTGGCATGGTCAGAACATTGGAGGTTGGCTTTGATTTTGAATACTCTTTTTCAATTCACTGTGTCAAAGGTCACAGAGACAGCATGGAGTTACAGCGGTTTAAAGAGGCAGCAAACAAAATTAAAGAAAGAAGTGATGATATTGAGGTAAGCATGGAAGACATTTTATCACGTGTTAATGGGGATTAGTTTTTTTTTAAACCGTGACTTAAAAGTCTAAGAGCAAATATAATCAAAGAACTTGCAAAAGGCAGCCTGGAAGGAATGTGTATCTGGTTTATGATTTGGAAAAAAAAAAAAAGACACCTAGTGAAAAGTCATGCAGCCTTAATTACACATCAAGTACTGTTGCTTCATAATATGATACTAATGAAATATTAAACAAGATCTGAGGTTATGAAAGCTGAGATTGCTACAACTGTGAATGAAGATAAAATTATGTATCCCATAATTAGTGTTTAAAGAAACATGTGACACTCAGAAATTTCAAGATCAGCATTTAGAAAGATTTTGGTGATTTATGTGATACTTTACCAAGCAGGATGATAGACTATATGATTTTTAAAAGTGCCAAAAATTGTTTATTATGCTTCCAAGAAGAAAAGGCCTTTCTAACAAGCTTGTTATAAACTAAAGTGTAGTATAATTTCCATTTTCTTAAGGAATAATACAAACAACTAAATGGCATGATTAATTGTAACAAACCTGTCCTCCAGATGCTATAGTGTGTATATATGGTTTTCTCACTGTAGCTGTTAAGATGAGTTAGTAAATAAAAGTTACCATTTGCAGTTACCCCTTGTTCAGGGGAGAATCTGACTTGAGAATTGCATTATGCCTATTTGCAATGTCAGTGTTCTGCTGGGTTGCTCCTTCTGGACCTTCTGATAAGTATAATGTGTGACCAAAGAGCTTTTTGTGTATGTGTGGTTTTGGCATGTTTTTTTTTGTAATAATGTTTACAGTTAGCTTTGGGTTTTTTTGATAGGAGCAACAGGAAGACTTCAAAAAAGCTATATTAGAGGGCATAGAGACAACCAGACTTCAAGTAAGTAAAGAAAGTTTCCATTTATTAGAGACATTATTTTCACCAGATAATGAATGTATTCTTTACAGCGAAGACAGGGAACTCTGTTTTCTGTATGATTATCTGTAAGTAAACCCTGGTCGTGATTTAAAAAAATTAAAAAAGAGAAATTTCTACAGTTGCACCTTTGTATAAATCCAGCTGGATGTTTCCTTTATGTAGGTCTAAATAGTTCCAGTGTTTGGTACTATTGGGATGAGAACTGCAGTAGCATTTCCAGACAGGACCACTGTTCTTATACACTTAGTAGTAGAGTTGTCCCATCTTAACTGCTGGGACTGGTTTGATTCTTACCTTGCATGTACGCCCTACAGTCACTGATTGTAAGATGCTGACGATGTATACTGAACACTGAAATGTGTGTAGGCCTAAAAAATGGGTCTTCTTAAGACACTTTCAGCAGGTGCGTTCTCTGTGTTGCATTCCAGTGAAGTATTTATGTTTAGGGATGTAAAAAAATAGTCTTTCTCATGTATATATATACACACACGTTTTGAACACACATACATACACACAGGCATGTGTGTATGTGTTTATGTATGGGGGTGTATTCCTTAAGAGGGAAGGGTAAAAAAGGGTGGTAACAATTTTCTAACTGTTACAAATTTCGGAATCAAAAGCAGGGCATAGCATTCCAAGCTCTAGTTTTTTATTCATCAGTCTTGAATTTTTACGTTTTATTCAGATAACCATTGGAATTAATAGGCTGGTTGTGAGGAATGTTCCAGCGCTGTGCCAGTCTACATGTAATTCTAGTTTCTGTTGAAACTGCCTTGCTGCTTCTTTGCAAAAGAAGTACTTTGTTGTCAAAAGCTGACAGCCACAGTAAACACTCAGAAAGTATGTAATTGTTACTAAGGAATACATCCATGAGGAAATTCCATTCATAAACTGTAGGTTTTTATGTGGCAAGACTTCTCTAGATTTTGTTCCTATTTTCAGTGGGTTCAAACTGAGCTTTAGTTTCTGCCAGAGCCATGTTCTTAAATGAGAATTGATAGTTACAAAGGAAGGAGACAAAATAGCTGAACTTGGTGCTTGTAGAGATCCAGTGTAATGTACACTTCTGTAGTTGTATCCTATTGTAACGTTCTCTTTAAAAGAACTCTTTCAGGGTGGGTCAATAGTCTAAACATGCACCTGAAAATGTTAGAGCTGATGGTTACTGTGAAGAGTATTTTAACTAATTATACACTCAACTTGAACATTTTTGTGCGGCCGGGTATTTGAGGTACATTCAGAAGTTTATTTTTTAAAAAAATTCTTATTTTTATTTTTTTTAAAAAGAAAACTGGATAGTCCTAGAAAAGAAAACTGGGCAGATTGTGTGCCAAAAGAGTAGTAGTTGAAAACAATGATAATGCTGACTAATGATACGTCTATCTTTTTTTGTGTAGGGTCTTCAAACTGACTGTGGTCTGAGACAATCGAGTTCTTGCGGTGGGTTTACTGACCCTCTGGCAGTCCATTCAGAACAATGTAAGTGTGTCGTCTTTTCAGGTACCTAATTTTATCTCCAAATTGTGTTGATAATGAATATTCTTAGAAGATATGAAGGAAATGCAGAAGAACAAAGCATCTTGAAATATTTTCATGACTGGTGCTACTTCAATCTGCTCCTGTGTCTCATTGTGTCTTCCAGTCATGCCAGCTTATTTCTGTTACCAACGAATGGCTAAAATCATAAAAAGCTAAGTGATCTAGTCAGGACTCTGCTGGAAACTTGTAAAGATCAGATAGTTTTGGATCAGGCTTTTTTTATGGGAGCCACATTAAGCTGTCTAGTTGCTCACTCTGTTAGGAAATAGGTAAGTAACGATGATGCATGCCGTTCTTTGCCCAGTTACAAATCTCTTTCATTGATAGTGTACAGCAAGAGTGGAAGAGCATCGAGTGAAGACACTCAGCGAGTAGACTCTAAAGCAGCATTACTGACGGTTTGTATCCTCCTTCTTTGTTGTTGTTAAGCAGAACTGGAAACTGAACAAATAAAGGAGAAGAAACAGATAATGTAAAGAGTAATACTGACTTGTGGACTCACTTGTTCAAGGGGGCAACAGAAGGGGACCTATTTTGACTGAGGGAAGAAGTTGTGCGTGTTCTCTGCTACATATTGTGCATATTCTCAGTATGAAAACATATAATGCTTCCTGTTTATGGAAAAAACCACAACTTTTTGTTTAAGAAAATAGTTTTTTATATATCTGTAGAACAGTAGCTAATATATAGCCTTGTCTATTCTTTTAACTGTAGTTACCGTTCCTCAATTGTATCTGAGTCTTTCCATTGAGCTGCAGTTCAGTACAGCCTGGTGAAGTATTTCTGATAAATAGGCTGTACTGCAAGATCTTAAAACGCATTACCACCCCACCGCCAATTAAACGCATTATGCTTTCCTTGCAAAACTGAAACCTTTGTTTTTCTTCTCGTTTGTTTTAAAGGATTGGTTACAAGGTAGACCTTCAACTAGCAGTCAAATGTAAGTAGGCTTTCTACTAATGCAGCATTCAATTAAACTATATTTTGATTTGTTTTTGTTGGTTGTCTTTAGCTATAGTGGTATGCAGTTGTGTTTAATGAAAAAACAAGGCTTAAGGTTTATTTTCTAATAAATAACTGAATGTGTTCACTGGAATGCTTTGACAGGTTCTGTTTAGATTAATGGGGTCACATGTCAGAGGCCAAAACATGCCCTTAAATGAAAATGACTGTGTTGACACTTACTAAGGAGCTAGCTTCCCAGTGAAGGTCTTTACCCAACCTTTCAAACTGTAAACCTTCTCTGAAATTGTGCAGACATAGCTCTTGTTAACAATTATCCCCTGAGTTAACTGTTAAAGCCATTACCTTATTAATCTGATAACAGAAGGGTAAGCTGTTGTGAACAAGTTTTAATTAAAGCACCTCTGTGGGAAATGAGCTCTTGTGATGCAAACTTTACATAATGTTGTGCGTGACTTGGTGGTATTTAAAGTATAGCTCTAAAAACATGAGACTACTTAACAGCCTCCCATTGCTGTTTTGTAATTAAGAAACCTGTACTGCCCTTGAAAAATAGGATAAAAGCAGTACTGTGAGGTTAGCAAGGTGACCTAGGATGATGTGTCAAAATCGGTGAATGCAAAATAACTTTTTAAGCAATGACTGTTGGTTTTGTGGTGTTTCGCAGGCCATCTGAAGAAGATGCGTTGAATGGTAAGTTTGTTTCTGCTATAAACAAGCTGGGAGCTTTTCATATAAGTGACTGAGTCTTTGATGAGAATGTATTTAATTACTGATAATTTGGAACTTAATGGACACGTAATAGTGTGGGTGTTTGGGTTTTGGTGGGGTATTTTTTAAATAAATAGCCTACCATTGAGCACTACAATTTTTTAATTATTTTTTTCCGTCTGAGTTACTGAAGAGCTAAGCATGATATTTAATTTTCTGCACAGCAAATCTTTTTCAAACTATAGTTAGCTGGCAAGTGTTCTTTGCATGTGGTGGTTTTAATACACAATACAGGTAGCAGGCAGTATCTCTTTTTCTGTCTCTTTCAGGTATTGCATCTCCTTTCAAGCCTATCATGGATATCAATTACTATTACTCAGGTCAGTCCCTCTTGGGAACTAATGTTTATATATTTAAAAACACTTACTAGATCCTTAAACTCTTAACGAATGCTGTAATTTTCCTCTAGCTGTAGAAAGGAATAACTTGATGAGATTATCACAGAGCATTCCATTCACTCCTGTGCCTCCAAGAGGTAAGAAGTATACTTGTTGCTGGTTCACTGGTCTCTTGGGGAAGAAAATAAAAGTAAACCCTGTACAGATTCCTTCTAATATAGAAAGATCAAGCTAAATTTCACACTTGGCGCACAGCATGTGTGAAACTAAAGTTTTAGTGAACTAGAAGTCGTCTAGTGTCTGTCTTGCAACACTCGAAAATATAAATAAGTATGACACCTTTTCTAGGACAGCTCACTTGATTATGGAATCTAGATTTAATTGTAGTTGTCCTCAGAAATTGTGATGAAGTGATGATAGTATTGTACTAACAGTTTTTGTAACAAACTGTTCAGGAAGGATTCCTTTAAGTTGTCTTGACTCATGTAAAGTGTAAACAAACGTTTTATTTAGTGTTCTTAATTCTGTTTGAACAGTGTCATTAATAGTTCCATTTAGGAGGACAGAAAGGCTTTGCTACTGTCTGAAGGAGGTTGGAGAGAGGTCTTCCCACCGGGTAGTTCAAATTTTTTTCTTAATTCAGGATATTAGTAACAATATTGTAGCATGTTGAAATATAAGAAACTGTAGGTTTTCAGTGCTTTAAATTTTAAACTTGGAAAATTAAATGTAGTCATTGCTTTTTGTGTTGTGACGTAGGTGAACCAGTGACCGTGTATCGCCTTGAAGAAAGTTCTCCCAGCATCTTGAATAACAGCATGTCTTCCTGGTCACAACTAGGACTCTGTGCTAAAATTGAATTTTTAAGTAAAGAGGAGATGGGAGGAGGTTTACGTCGAGCTCTTAAAGTAGTATGCACGTGGTCAGAATATGATATCCTGAAGTCAGGACATCTTTATATCATCAAGTCTTTTCTTCCTGAAGTTGTGAATACTTGGTCAAGCATTTATAAGGACGACACTGTGTTACACTTGTGCTTGAGAGTAAGTTTTATCCTTGTCAGTTAGTAAGCATAGACAGGCATTATATGTTAAATAGGATCCTTCCCCTCCCCGCCCCCAACTAGTATATAGTTATTAAATAAAGGTTAGTCTGGGGTTCTGTGTGAGCTAGAGGGTTAAAAACTCTGCTTCAGTACAGTTTACTTAATTGAAGAGCTCAAACTCTTAAAATGTAGACATAATTGAAAAAGCAAGTAATCAGTTACATTGTCTTGGGGGAATAGGCACTTACTGTTCTGCTGCCTTTTTGGCTTCTCGATGTCTGCTGTCATGCCACGCAGCTCATGTGATACGGACTTTGTCTTCTAGGAAATCCAGCAGCAGAGAGCAGCGCAGAAGCTCACCTTCGCTTTCAATCAAATGAAGCCCAAATCCATTCCATACTCTCCAAGGTGAGTGTGTTTAAACTTCCATTCTGTTGTGTGCTTTTGACATAGGTGAGTGCCTACAGGGTTGTTAGCAGGTGGATCCAGTATATTAAGGTACTGAGATGTGAAGATACAGCTCAGAATATTACTATGAATGTGTCAAGCAGAATTATCCTTGGCAGTGTGTTCTGTTGATACTTTTTGCACCAATTCTAGCCTAGTATGATAATATAAATGACTTTGTATAATAGTTTCAAATTATTTAAATTATTAGTAAATCAAATAAAAATCCACTAGTAATGATATATTTGCCATTTATTTTGGAAATATATTCATTAAGTGTGCTTTTTACTAGGTTCCTGGAAGTTTTTCTGTTATATTGCCACTCTGCTGGTCAGTGGTTTGCAGTTGAAGAGTGCATGACTGGAGAGTTTAGAAAATACAACAACAATAATGGTGATGAAATAATTCCAACTAACATGCTAGAGGAGGTTATGCTAGCTTTCAGCCATTGGACATATGAGTACACAAGAGGAGAATTGTTGGTACTAGATCTGCAAGGTAATAACCTTATCTTGAAGTTGGGGTTGGGGCCAAGATAGATGTATGTGGGTTTTTCTCTTGTGATAGTGCTTTATTAAAAATCCGTATGCCTGTAATAAATAAGTGTTATTTAGTGCATCTTGGTCTAGTTAATCTGAATCAGGCATTAAGTCTTAGAGCAACACAGCGATATAAATATATACATATTTTCCTAATTATATGCACCATAAAAAAGTGTAAATTTGTGCCAATATGCTAAGCTGTATTTATCCTGAATTGTGTATCAGATATTCTGGCTGTGAAAACTTTATAGGAAACCTCTTTCTCATGGGTGAAAACTAAAGTGAGGAATTGCAGGCAGATGTAAAAATAGGTGGAATAAATCCAGGAAGTACGAAGTGCTCATTTAGGAGCAATTATTGTAAGGGTAAAGAGTTTCACATGTAAATTTGAGGGGGGAGAGATTCTGCTTTTATTCTTGAGGAAACTGAGAAGTCATAGCAAAAGATGCCAAGGGTTTTCAATATTAATGCATTTATGTAATGTATCAGATTTAACTTTTTCTTCGTGTGCTGTCTGAAGGTGTTGGTGAAAATTTGACAGATCCCTCTGTGATAAAAGCTGGAGAAAAAAGGTAAGGTTAAAGAAGGGTTTAAAGATATGTATTATAAAATTTTCACCGGAGAACATGTGCAACATATATTTATGTGCACTTTATTTTTAAGGTCATATGATATGGTGTTCGGTCCAGCCAACTTGGGAGAAGATGCAATAAAGAACTTCAGAGCCAAGCATCACTGTAACTCCTGCTGCAGGAAACTTAAACTTCCTGGTAAGAGTTGCTGTATTTCTTCTTCTGAGACACTCACATCATGAAATGTTGTGTGGTACGTAATGAAATGGTTAGAAGAAGTAATAAACATCAGTTTTGTAATTTTACTTTTAAAACAGTAAGATAAAATCCTAAGTGAAGAAATTAAGAATGTCTGTAGTATTTGAGGAGGGTAGACTAGATTGATCAAGACTTCAGAAGGTATGGTAACCTTTATCATTTCTTTACTAGGAAAAGCGAGTCAAGATGAGTGGAAGCCTTCAGGCTATTTAAACAAAATGGTGCTTGTGTTTGTTTTGGTTTGGGGGGGGTTTGGATTGTGGGGTTTTGTGGGTTTTGTTTTTTTAATTTGTGGTGTTTGGGTTTTTTGTTGTTTTGGTTTTTTTGTTTGTTTTTAAAAACGTGTCTAGGTTTTAAAAAATGTCCATTCCAGATATTGTTGCTGCATGGGCTACACTACACTCACATCAAACCTTGAAACTGTTTCTCTGAATCAGGCTTCTAGACTGCAGCAGAACAACATAAGGAACTTCTATGGCTCCTGCCTGTTTCACACTTCTCTTCCAGTTGTTTCTCACATGAAGAGAGGTCATTTATTTTAAATTTGAGTTGTAATTCCTGGTAACATCAAAACAGCTTATGGAAGCATCCTGTTTCTATGGCAAGTTGACTCAGTACTTGCTATAATATCTATGAATAAAATAATTCTGAAGTTTCCATCACTTTCGAAAGCAGAGCTTTAGGCTTCCAGTTACATGTATGATAAAAACACCCTTTTTTGACACACTGCATACTGAGGGATTCTTCTTTATAAGTACATATTTGTACTCGAGGCTTTGAAAGACTTTTATGCCCCATCGATTCTACTAGCTCAAGAAAAAGTAATCGATACGACTTCATTTTGTTTGTACAGATCTGAAGAGGAATGATTACACACCTGACAAGATCATATTTCCTCAGGATGATTCCCCTGAATTGACAATTCAGCCTGGAAGCTGCACCAAAGAATCCGATTCAACTAATTCTATTCGTCTGATGCTCTAATGATGTGACCAAATCAGTGGCTTCATCCAAACTTCATGGAATGTCGCAAAGTTGTCACTTATCTTTCCTTTGCTAATTAAAAGAAAGATATGTCAAAACAAGGATTGCTGTCTTATAAGTGGAATTTTGGCTGGTTCATAATCTTAAGGACCTAACAACTTGTGATAACCATCTACAGAGAACAGCTTGGTGGCTCGTCATTTTAAAGGCTGAATAATGACAAGTACTTAAGATATGTTTTTAAAGGGGCTTTTTAGCAGAAAGTGGGGTTGTTTTGTTTTGGGGTTGTTTTTTTTTTTTTTTCTTTGTTTAGTGGAGGATTTTCTCTCTGTAGTCCCGTGGTGTGCAATATGCCTTCAACCAAAAGGATTTTGGTAGTCAATGTTTTAAGGTAAAGCATTTGTTTGGCAGCTGTCTTACTGCCAGTCAGCAACAGACAGAAGAAAGCACCTACCTCTGTAATGCCAGAGTATTCTTTGAGCCTTTTTGGAAGTGTTCCACTGATGTTTTCTCACCAGATGTCTTTTAATCTGGCCTTTGAAGACGACAGAGCCAAATGAGGTGTGTATGTGATGCCAGTAGGCTGAGGCTGAAGGTAGGAACTTGATCTGTTCCAATAGAGAGAGAGAGAGTCTCCTGAATCAGGATTCGGCTTCATGGCTGCAAAGCGTTGGTTTTGTTTGGTTTTGGTTTTGTTTTTTTTTTTCCTGGAATAGAGCCCTAATCGTGCGTAATGAAATTTCTTGTTTTATACATTTCAATTTTATGAAGTCACCATCAAACAGTAACAAAGCCATGATAGACTGATGTAATCATATTTAATAGAAGAAGTAGTATGTACTGGTCCAAGTAAGTTGCCTTGTAAGAACAGAAGTTGGAAGTGCATTTCCTCGTGCGTGGTGACTGCTTCAGAAGTGATGCCTTCCAAAGATCTTGTAAAACCAGTATATCAAACCCGAATGTACACATAAGTTTTAAATGTATTTAAAATTGTGTAGAAAACATCTTTAGTGTTATGTTATTTGTGGTACTTATTTAAGAGAGACTAGGGTTGGATTAGCATTATGTAAAGTACGGGAGATTGCAATGCACCTTCATGCCAATAAAATGTAATTTAACTGTCCCAAATATTGTTGAGCATTCAGCAAGAAAAAACTGTTGTCCAACTGAAGTTTCATGCTGCGATTTTTTTTTTTTTTGTTACATAGGTACTAATTGAAAGGGCAGTGTATAGCTCTATAAATTTTTTATTCAGTAGTGTATCTTATAGATACAGACCTAAGGCACGAACACGATAGCTGTTTAAATGGTGTTTTATGTTTGACGGGGAAAGGTAAAATGTTATAAGGATATAATACTGTATACATTTTGTATATCATTAAATCTTTAAAGAATCTAAAATAAATTTATTCTTGTTTACAGACTTCTGCTGTCCGTCTTCGTCTGAAAGGTTATTTGGGTGAATTTAAGTAACTCTGTGCAGAAAAGCAGTTGTCTGCCTTTGAGGTATCTCAACTTTGGCTAACACCAGAAGCTGGGGGAGGGGGGTGAAAACTCTCACTGTAGACAAACATATGTGATGGGGTTAAGGAGTAAATGAGACAAAAATACCTTAAAGCTCTTTACAGTGTCTGTTTTGAATTAGGAGCTGCTTCATGGATGCCTGACCGCATCCCCTTCTGTTGCAGTGAGGTAATGGGCAGTTATTCAAGATGTGCTTACATCTTTGTAGTGCCATGTTCTTAGCCAAGTAACGGCAACATTTCATCTGTAAGGGAGGCTGGCTCTTCAGATTGGGAAGGATTTCCAGAGGAGCCTCAGGTGGTGTGAAAATGTGACCAAATTCAGTGTATGAAATAGGAAAACCCTTTGGGGAAAATTGTAAGTAGAAGTTAGGAAACTTTTTGTTTCCTGACAAATACTGAACAATGCACAGTTAGTTGTTACAGCCATGATACCTGTCTTCAGTAGTTTTGCCCGTGGCTCGTTTCGTAACAGAAGAAACAGATGTGACTTGTGTGATACGTGTGTGTGACCGTGGGGGTGTTCCCTCCGCTCAGTGTTGCGGTGACTGGGGCCCGAAGCCTGGCCAAGACCAAAAGGGACAAAAAGGGTTGGGGAAAGTATGTAAGACTCAGAGTAGTTAATGCTGCATGTATTTCTGTACATCTTCCTGTCATGAGTACTAGCTTACTCCGTGAGACTTAGAGCTTCTCATATAATTCTAGCTGTATGTCTAAATTGAGGGGGGGGGCAGAATTTACAACTGCCACAGATTATCTTCTCCTTCAGACTAGCAGGAAAAGAAATCATAAATGTGAGTATCCTTCAGGGAAGGCATTGAAAAGGTGTGGTGGTAAAAAAACAAAAAGTTGAAGTAGCCTGACCTTGCCAGGAGTAAGAGCATGTCCTATTGATGTAGGCTGTAGGAACATGACGGTTACCCCACGTAATTTATATTGGTTGAGAACGGCAGATGTCACTCCTCTGCTGAAACCTCATCCCTCTCAAAGGGCTCTGTGAATACAGAAGAGTTGTGACCCTTTAGCTGTTAAATTTCCTTTAGGCTACTGAGGAGAGGGAAAGCAGTAGCAGCACTGGCACCAACAGATAGTTTTGATTCCCTACCACTATCCTAGGGATATTTTCATTAGAAGAAAAACCACTGAGTAACAGATTAAACTGAATATTATGTACTTGACTAGTTTTGGTGACTTCTGCTTTAAAATGCACTTTCATTTCCTCCAGCGGCAAGATTTGTTTTTGCAAAACCTCAAATACATGAGTATGCTAATTTAATCTTTAATTAATCCAGCACATTCAGCATTGTTGACTGTTTTCTTGCAGTATTTAGGTGCTGAAACATTTCAGAAAAAAAAATCCCAAATACATTGTGGCAAAATGGGCAAAGGTGAGTCTCTCAGGGAGCAGGTTTCCTAGCTGCTGCTCAGCAGCCACCTGATTCGGAAAAGGGGGCACCTGGTTTTTAAGCCTACAGCAGTGATGTCCTTCGCTTTCGTTCTTTGTGATTGCATCTTACTCAATGCTGCAACACTGAACACTGCAAGAATTTGGAGGGGGGAGAAGACTGCACCTGAAAACTTGGTAGTAACTGTTCATGTTGAACGTTCGTAAAAGATCAATTGGAAAAAAAAACCCAAAGCATTTTTTTAAAAAATGTAACAATGCTTCTGAAAATACTTCAGATGATTTAATATTTCTTTTTACGATTAACACTCTTCCTTGCAAGTAATTAATTTTGTGGTGAGAGTAATTCTCAGCCCCTTGTCTCCCTCTCTGGAGATATTCAAGACCTGCCTGGACGTGGTCCTGTGCAGCCTGTTGTAAGTGACCCTGCTTTGGCAGGCGGGTTGGACTAGATGACCCACGGAGGTCCCTTCCAACCCCCACCATTCTGTGATTCTGTGAGCTTGTGGTAGGTAGCACTGATGTGGTTTTGTGTATTGTGTTATGTTAAAATAGTAAATCAGGGTCTTGCTTTGGATTCCACAAAAAGTAGGAATAAGCATATGTTTTTGCCTTCTTGAATGATGTTAGCATTGCTGATTTTAGTACCAAGTAAAATTCAGCTACATGGCTTTATAGTCTTTTCAAAATACTGATAATATTTAATGATTTCGGTGATTTACAGTTTTCAATACAACTTTTACGCTGCCTGCGTGACAGCTATTATAGATTGAATTTAACTTATTGTTTCCCAATGATGTTTTCAAAAAGTGCTTTTTAATGCTGCCATCAGCCTGTATGTGACCATAGTACTTGCTTTTCAATGCGTTCTTCAAGTTCTCTTCCTGCTTTTCTTCAGTGTGTTCCCCTCTGTAGGAAGGGAAGGACGCTTAACTTTTGGTAAGAATGTTTTAAATAATCAGTAGGAGTTGAAAAAGCACTGTTAATGCTGCCAACTGCTGAATAGTTCCCTGTCCTGTGCAAGAAAAACAAATTAGTTGGTTCCTTCCTTCTGTCTGCTGTTCTCAGTATGTTTCACAACGTATCTTGCTGGGTGCTCTTGTTCTAAGTAAACAGTTGGCTATGCTCGTGCTTGTCATTAATGGAGGGAAATCAAGATACAAGTCCTTCGTATCAGCTATGGTGGGGCCAGAACTTAAGCACATCAAATTACTCTAGAAAATACTGTGGTTGCGTGCAGTGGCACACCACTGTGAACATAAAGCTTGTGAACAATTCGTAGCTGCTGAGTCTTTTGGGGTTATGATTTGTTTTTGTGCATTTTCTTTTTTTAGAGCATATGATGAGAATATTTAGTCCAGTAACAGAAGCTTGCCAAGAAAATCAAGGAGCAGGTTCCTGACGTGGAGATCCCAGATGAAGTGGGCAGGAAAGGTAAGAAGTGCCAGGGGTATAGGGCTAATTATTGTTTCATTAGTAGTAATGAAATACATCTCAGTATTATTTAACAGTATGGAAGGGTGAAGACATGTGCAAGTGGTGTTGCACTACACCAGAAGCTAATAACAAAAAGCAAATTTTAAAAATTCTAGGCAGTGGTTTTCCATGTTTGTGCCATGCTGCTGTGTTGGTGGGTTTGTGCTAAGTATGAGCTGCAGAGACTGATAGAAGTGGTAGTAGAAGTGTAAACCAGCAGTTGTGGTGAGGTGTTGCAGAGCACGAGGGGCAGGATTAGGACAAACTGCTTTTTGAACAGTACCTGCAAAACTCTTTCTTGCAGGGAGCTCTGAAGTTGAGAAAAACGGTCAGCTGATTATTTTCTGAGACTGAAACTTCAGGCTCTCCCTTTTCAGAAGACGTAATGACCACTGCAACCAGTGGCATCCTCCTCTTGTTTCCACAAAAATGCCATGAACTGCTAACAAAAGCTGCCCTTGGAAGGCGACGCTAGGCAGGAGGAAGCTTCCTCATCCCTCACAGCCTTGCTGCAACTGAGCAGGTCTGTAGCAGAAATCTGCTGGAAATTGGTTTCTTTGGGTCCGATGTTTGTGGTCATTCCTTGGCCTCTGCCATGGCCTCAGCTCAGCCTTTCCCTAAGAGGGCATGAAAGATCTGACTTCCTCCCTCCCATGCGGTGTGTCCTTCTGTTAAGTCCATGGTAGAAAATAGGGTACTTGGTCTAAGTAAGCCTTAGCGACCAATGCCAGCTGGCACCTGTTCCACGGGCCGGTGGAGCTGGGGATGGGCATCACCTGAGCCACGGCAGGCAGTGGGGAGGGAGCTGCAGGGCAGAGCGGGAGCCGGGGAGCAGGGAAGGGGGGGAGCCGGGGTGCGGCTGGGAGAATCGGATCTTCCAGCCACGTGAGAGGCCAGGGCTAGGAAGGACATGCCATGAGCAGCTGGGAACACGGGCAGGTGAGTACGGGAGGCATCTGTGGCATTCGCTGCTGACAGAAATGGTTCATGGGAAGACAGGAGAATAAAACTAGTTTCTGTTCTTGGTTGTCTTGAAGGGAGATTTGTAACTGCAAGACAGGTAAGCTAGTGACCCAAAGCCAGAAAGCCTCGTTAGCCCTGCCTTACCCTAACTAAATGTGATGCTGCACATCTCATCATCAGAATATTACAGTTGTGATTTTGACTTTTCTTGGTTTGTTTTTTTAGACTGGAAAAACTGCTAAAATGAAGGATGAAGGAGACACTGAGAAAAATCGAACAAAGCATCAAAAATTCATTGACTGGGAAAGAATGCAAGCTGCTGAAAGTGTACCCTGTATTCCAAACTAGGAACAGATACTTGCTGTGACTGGTTTTGTCAAAAAGAAGATAAAATCAGGAAAATACGGAGTGTCATCTCATTGAATACAATTTATCTAAGTGTCTGAATTCCAATAAAGTAAAATTAATTCCTTACTGTTCTTAGCCTTTCTTGATATTTTCTCCTGTGTTGCATCTGTCCTAATTTTATTTCTGTATTAGTGTACATTATTAGAAGTTCATTCATACTTTTCTCCCCCCAAAGGGCTGCAGGAATAAGCAAGGGGCCGTGGAGTCACAGAAACGTTGGAGATGCTCCAGCAAAGGCTCCGTCAGAACAGGCTTTCAGAGTTTGCACAAGCCCTATACTTCTGTACGGACTACAGAGGCGTTACAGGCTTCAGTCTATACCTGCGCAGGTAGAAGAATAATAGGTAATGGAAATGTCTGGAGTATTTCAGTTATCCAGCTGCTCTGCAGCAGGCCCCCCTGTACAGCTGCAGCGTGCGCCTGTCTCTGCGTTTTGCCTGCAGCGCTGTGACAGAGCTCCTCCGCCTCGGCACGGACAGGCGCAGCCCCGTGGGGGAAAGCACATGGCATTTCAACCTCATCTCTGGCATTTCTGAACTGAATGAATTGGCAGAAAGAGGCAGGATTGAACTCCTGGCCAGTTGAGATTCATCAGCAAAACTAAATATTTTAGGGTGGAACCCCCTCCATGAATATACTGACATGTTGTACCTATTCAGCGCTCGTACGTGTTTCGTGTAAGTTTTAAGTTTAACCCCCACGGGATTATAATTTACATTTTAAAATGAAACTCTTGAAAAGTGTGTACAATATTACAGTTCCCTTTACAAAACGCTTGTGGACCAGATTTTAAGTAGTGGGGGTGGGTAGGGTGGTGCTGTTAGATCTGAGTTGGCAACTCCTCGGTTCGGGAGGTGAGCGGCGGTGTCGGCAAGTGAGCCATCCCGGCAGTGCTGGCAGATACCCTTTGCTTCAAGCTTAACAAGTAAGGTAATCGGGGATGTGTTTTAACGGCTTCCTGGACCTCTGCTCTGGACACTTGTTACTTTCCAAATTGTACATGAAATAGGGGAAACCTGCTGCTCCTCAGTGGTGTGTGAAATTCGGAGATCAACTACACAGTCTCTGAATTAGCTAATTAAAAAGACAATTCTCTGCCACTACTAATTCAGCACGATGTTTTGAGGTGGTTCTACCTTGTTACGGTAAACAGCCTCAGTCAGCACTGCCCTTCTGTCAGAGCACGGCAATAATAAACACGAACACGAGTATCAACAAACACAGATAAATGGGGTCAGGCGGAAACTCTCGGCCCAGCGGAACTGTCGGGTGCCCATGTCTTCCCAAGGGCGTTTCGGGTGGCACAGGGGGAGGGGAGGGAGATGGGTCTGTTCCGTGAGAACCGGTGGAACCGAGCGGCATCACAAAGCACCGGGGGGTGGGGACGGGATGGGACCCTTAGCATCTTGCCATGAAAGGGGACAGAAGAGGTGATGGTACGAGGAAGGGGCTGGGGCGGGCAGGGGCTCCCCGCAAGGCTGCCGGGGGCTGCCCAGCCACCGGCCAAACCCCGTGGTCCCAGCGCGTTTTCTCCTCTGAGCCGGTGTTTCTCGGAGATGGGTATAAAACATGGAATTAAGCGTTCTCATAGGAGATTGGTCTATAGGCAGAACTGTTTGGAAATGTTGGCTCTGCTGTTACTGAAATTTAGAAGGAAACCGTTTTGTAGTTGTTCTGCAGGTAGCAGATGATAGAAAATGGCTGTCGGTCTGGGAGGTCTCCAGAGAATGGGCACTTGGACACGTGTTGTTGAGCAGAAGGGAAAGAAATGGCTTTTCTCGTTCTGCTGAGGTTTCAGATTTTTCCCTCCTGCATCAGAATAAAATAGTGGCCTTTCAAAATTCAAGAAAAGCAACATCAGCGAGCACACCTGGGTTGCGTAGGGTCTGTGTTCGGACCTCCCTTGTGCCTAATTGGGCATGGGGACAGGGACAGTTTGGTCCAGGACAGACTTGTGCAGCAAGAAAACAAACCTACTCAAATTTTCTCAACGTGAATTAAGTAACGTTGTATGGAAAAAGTCTAAAGAGCAACCTGTTCATGGTAGCATCTGGACTGCAGCCTGTGGTTTTAGAAAACACCTAAGTACCAGACCACTGAGGAAATGAAATATAATACGCATTCTGTAGGGAGAAATGCTGAAGACAGCTATTTACAGCTCGTTGTAGTTTTCAAGTGAATGTGTACAGCGTCAAAGACTGGGTGGAATTTTAGGAATAACTAAAACCCCAGGTATTGAAATAATACCTCTTAATGACGTAGCTCACCGTAGTGGGAAGAGCTTAGTGTGGGAGAGGAGTCTTTATCACTGTATTAGCTGGATGAAAGTAAGTGTGAATGTGACTTATAAAGAAGATCCTGAAACAGCAGGAAACGTCTCCTCGAGACAGTACCGCTTTCTAAAAAACATAATACAAAGAGCACAGTAGCATTTCACATTTCCATTGTTGTGGGGGTTTTTTTTCTAGTAAATAGCAGTACGGCTCCGTTTGCTTGGAAAGTGTGAAGGCTTCCTGCGAGGAACCAGTGGAGGCGATGGACAGCCAGTGCCCGGGGCTCACCGGCCTGAGGAACCTGGGCAACACGTGCTACATGAACGCCATTCTGCAGTGCCTCTGCAGCGTGCCTCCGCTCGTGGAGTATTTCCTCTCGGGAAAGCACAAAGCAGCCCTGAACAAGTAAGTTGATTTATTCACCGGCTTTCACTTTTTTGCTTGGCACCGCCGTTTCCCTTCCATAGGGTGCATGTTGCCATGAGAACGTGCGAGACAGCTCCCCACTGGGAAGTTACATTCAAACTGGCCACAAACTGGTTTCCTTCTCCTTCCTCTGAGACCCTGAGTCATTTTGCCTTGCTGGAGAACTTAAGCATTGTACTTTTTTTTTTTTTTTTTTTTTTTTTTTTTTTTTTTTTTGTTGTATTGATGCTAACACCTATCTCTGTAATATCTACTATTTGCAGAGTCCCTCAAGCCAAACGACAGGCTGCCACAGCCGTACTGTATCTGCATGTATTTTCTAAGCTTATGTATCATGCTCCCGTTTGAAGGTGGAGCCACCGTATTTTCATACTTTACCTGAAACTTATGTTTGTTTTTTTCCAAGGGAGAATGGTGAGTCTGCGGCCGCCTTTGGCTGTTTGATGTCCGACATGTGGTGTGGACAGTTTGACTGTGTTTCCCCGGAGGTTTTTTATTTGCTCCTGGGGAAGCGGTACCCAGCTTTTAGTAAGAGGACTCAGCAGGATGCGCAGGAGTTTCTGATCTCTGTGCTGAACGAGCTCCATGAGGCTCTCAAGAAGGTAAGAGCCTAGCTGCGGTGTTTAGGGAACCAGAGTTGTTTTGTCTTTGCATGTGTGATTTAGCATTTCATGTAATAATCGCCTGTCCTCCTCTTCTGAACTACATGACGTGGCTGCTAAAAATTGTCATTTCCTTGTTTCATACCCATATACACACAATAATTCATTTGCTTCCTAATCTCACATCGAATTGCAGCCCCCATCTAAATGCTAATGCTGTCTGTAGCTCCACTACCCTCACCTCTCCCTCTCCTTGCTCCTTCCATGCTTTACATTCTTCCCCTTTCTTATCTGCTTGAAGTCTTCATGTCTGCTGTGCCCCCATGGCAGACTTTTCTTAAGATCCACTGATAAAGATCTCGTCTAGCAATTAAATTACTCCCATCTAATGTCCAGAATATTATATTTGTTTCTCTCAGAAGATGATATTAGCTTACTCTGCATGTGTGAAACATCAAGTAAAGTAACAGCATTTTAGAGCCAAGTTCTGTGACATCAGACTGCCAGCCTACACAGGCAGTGGGCAGCGCCCATTAAAACCCAGCGAAAGCTCTTCTGAAAACAGTCAGTTACCTACACTTTGTTACTTTTTCTTTCTTCTCTATAGTCAAGCAAAAGAAGATGCATAACTGATGCAAAAGCAAGCAGTGGGAGTGTCAGTGAAACATCTATTATCACAGAGTTATTCGAGGGACAACTCAGTTATGACATCATGTGCCTGGAATGCAAGGCCACTGGGGACAGACCCGAGAGCTTCACTGTTCTTTCCCTGCCTGTCCCTGCCAAGAGCCCGTGCGCTCTGCAGGTATGGCTCCTACTACGGTCCTGCTGCTTTCTGCTTCGTGGGCAAGGAGGTGGCTTAGGCTAATGTGTGTTGTTATCAAGATGCAGGTTTTTAGTCACTTTGGTTTCCTGGGCACTAATGGAAAGTCTTTGTACTGGTCCTAAGAGAAGTGGGGTTTCTGCACTGGTTTCTGGAGCGCCGAGGCTGGTAGGGTGCTGGGAGCAATGCTCCTGAGCTGCCATGGGATGAGGGGTGTTAAGATTCATCCATAGCAGCTGTGAGGGTTTCTGTCACTCATTGAAGTATTTTGTCAGTTGGGGGGGGAGGGAGGGGGGAGAGGAAGCCACTGTTGGCTGCTCTGTGTCCGAGGGTTTGTTGTGTCAGACTTGCTCT